GGACTAAAGATCATTTTTAGTCCCGGTTCAAAAAATGGTAGGTGATGTCAGACCCCTCTAATATCTTTAGTCCTGGTTGGTGTTACCAACCGGGAAAAAGATGGGCATGCACAGAGAGATCGAGGCGTGCGCGTGAATCGGATCGAGATACATGTCTCATCCTCCCTCCCGGTTCTATCTCCTCCTCTCCTCACACCCTATCTCTTCTTCTCCTCCCCCTTCTCCTCTCCTCCCCATTCTCCTCTCCTCCGAGATCCCCTTCTCCTCGCCATCTTACGCGCGGAGGATCCTCTCCGCCTCCCCCTCCCCTCCTCCTCCCCGATCTGCAGGCGGCGGCGCACGACGGCCGGTGGAAGGTGGCGGCCGGGCGGTAGGTGGAAGAGGCGGCTTGCGCGGCGGCGGGCGACGCGCCAGATTTGTTTTGTTTTGTTTTTGTTTTTGAGAATTTGTGATCCGGATCTGAGATGTATTTGATTTGTGTGTGGTGTGAATATGTGATGAATTTTGTAGAAGTTGTGATGTAATTTTTTTTAAGATTTTATGATGTATTTGGGGATGATCGATTTGAGGATTTGGAGGTGTTAGTTGATTTGAGATTTTGGGAATGGGGATGGAGTGAAATCAATATATTAAAAACAATGAAGAAAATAATAGAATAAAGAAGCAACTGGGTATCAGTCTGGCTCTATCTTTAGTCATGGTTGGTAACACCAACCGGGACTAAAAAGTCTCTATCTATAGTCCCGGACTAAAAATAGATTTTTACTCCCGGTTATTTCACCTGGGACTAAAGATAACGATCTTTAGTCCCGGATTTGTAGTCCCGTTTGGAAAACCGGGACTAAAGGGGGTTACGAACCGGGAGTAAAAACTACTTCTCCACCAGTGAAATATATTAATATATGCATTTCACTTGTGGAGAAATCATTTTTGGTCGGTCAAACAGATTTCATAATAGTCCCAGTTGTATTAAAAACCGGGACTAAAAACATCTTTAATCCCAGTTTAAAACATCTTTAGTACCGGTTGGTGTTACCAACCGAGACTAAAGATCCCGATTGGTAACACCAACTTGAAAAAAAGATCGCCATACGCTTTACCTGCCGGTTGGTAACACCAACCGAGAAAAAAGATCAGCATACACGGAGAGATGTGCGGGATCGGATCGAGGTATCTCCTCCTCAACTTTAACTCCTCTCCTCTCCTCAACCCTATCTATTCCTCTCCTTCTCCTCTCCCTCCTCCCTCCTCTCTCCTCCCCACAGCATCTACTGCAGCGGCGGGGCACGGAGGGCCGGCCGGCGGCCTGCGCGAGGCCGGCCGGGTGGTGGCCTGCGCGGCGGCGGGCGGCGTGCCAGCGGCTTGCGCCAGCGGTTTTTTTCTTTCTTTTTTTTAGAATTTGTGATTCGGATATGAGATTTGTGTGTGATGTATTTGATTTGTGTATTATGTGAATCTGTGATGAATTTTGTAGAAGTTGTGATGTAATTTTTTAAAGATTTTGTGATGTATTTGAGATGATCGATTTGAGGATTTGGAGATAATTCGGGGACGATTGATTTGGGATTTTGGGGACGGGATGGAGTGAAATCAATATATTAAAGGGATAATTGCATCCAGGCCCCCACTTTCAAATCCAATTGCTGTTTTACCCTCACTTTTTAGAGTTTGCAGTTTTACCCCCACTTTTTGAATCTGAACCAGCCGTCTACCCCCACTTATAACAGTCGTTTGGTGGGTCCCACGTTTTGTGTTAAAAAATACAAAAGGAAATAAAAAAAGGTTATATGAATTTACGTTTGTACCCCTAAGGGAATGGATAAGGACTGAGTCCTCCCAGGCCCCAACTCGTGCGTGCGTGAATCGGGGACTCGAGGGCGGGCGGTGGCGAGGGCGTGCGCGGCGGCAGCGGCCGTGGCGAGGGCGGGCTGGTGGCAGCGGCGGCCGCGGCGAGGGCGAGGACGTGCGCGCGGCGGCCGCGGTGAGGGCGTGAGGCGGCCGCGTGCGGGGCTTCGACGCGGCGGCGGCGGGTAGCGGCGGCAGCCGCGGCGAGGGCGAGGGCGGGCGGCGGCGAGGGCTTGCGCGCGGGCGGCTGCTACGAGGGCGTGAGGCGGCCACGCGCGGAGCTTCGACGCGGCGGCAAGGGCGTGCACGGCGGCGGCCGCAGCGAGGGCGAGGGCGAGCGCGAGCGCGCGGCGGCGGCGGCGGCTGCGAGGGCGGGCAGGCTCCTCACTGGCCCTGGCAGCGGCTACTGTTGTTGCTCCCGTGGCCGCTGGCTTCCACGCTGACTCGCCGAGGCGTCGTCGTCGTCCGCCTCCGCTTCCACGCAGGAGTTCAAGCTCTCCCCGACCTCTGCCCTCTCCCCTGCCGCGAGTACGCCGCCATCGAGAGGTCCGTACGGCCACTTCCCCACACCGCGCCTCCTCGTACTACGCAGCCGGCGACGACCCCATCCTGCTCGACATCGATGGCGACGACAACGCGTGCTTGTGTCCACTTGGTTGCAACATTTATGTCCTCCATCTGCACCATGACTCACTTTGTATTTCTCATGATTGTTAAATGCTGATGCTCAAGTTATAACTGATGAACTGATGAACTCTGTTTTTCGTAACTGATGAGCTTCTTCGTCATGAAATTCTTCAGTAGCAACTTTCCGGACCTATCGAAATTTTGTTCAAATTTTGGTCAAATTTTGTACTTGGCTAGTATTTGTTATTTTTTTGTTGAAAAACATCACAAGGGATGCTCATATTTGAATTATTTATAACAATCATACAAACTGAAATCACACGGTAGGGACAAAAATAAAAATGCAATAACCACCAAGAATATAAATGTCCTTTTGCTCTACAACTAACACCGTTAAACCGACTATTAGAAGTGGGGGTAGCCAGCAGTTTCAGATTCAAAAAGTGAGGGTAAAATTGCAAACCCTAAAAAGTGAGGGTAAAACAACAATTGGGTTTGAAAGTGGGGGCATAGATGCAATTGTCACTATATTAAAACAATGAAGAAAAGAAAAGAATAAGGAAGCAACCATATCTTGCCTCTGGGACTAAAAAGGCTCTATCTTTAGTACGGTTGGTGTTATCAACCGGAACTAAAAATGGATTTTTACTCCCGGTTACTTCACCTGGATTCGTAGTCCCAGTTGAAAAACTGGAACTATAGGGGGTTACGATCCGGGAGTAAAAACCACTTCTCCACCAGTGTTTTTAGTGACTGAATAAACAATATAAAAATAAAGTATAATAAAATTATTATAAGATATTAAAATCAAAATTTAAAATTTATCATCGTAGTCATTCTTATGAAATTTTGCTATTTTTTTCTCCAACTATTGGTTGGATCGCGTGCATATGCGCAGGTGCATATACGCACCTTGGTGTAAAAAATGCCTTGGCGTTTGGATCCTGTGTCCACTGTCCACAGATGAGTACTGTAGATCGGCCACGTGAAGGCAAGGGGATCGATGATGGTGTCAGACTATCAGTACAAGTCTAGTACTATTAGTATTTTGATTAGCGCCTTTGGGGAACATTATCTTGAATTGAGAGCTACTAGTAAGCAAAGTACTATATATTAGGGCAAATAGGCAAATAATGCACATGGCATAATGCAAAAGAAAATTTTGTCCCTTTGATCGAAGGGGAAAAAATAGTATGGTTATTTAAGCAAGCTTAATACTGTAGTCAACCACTACCTACAAATCATATATAACCAATCTAATAACATATTTATTAATAGTTATTTATAAATGTATACTATACCACTAATATTTGGTCTACCTTTTACGCACACAATGTCTTAGAACATGTGTTATAGTTGGCTATAAATTCTCTTCCTCTTATATTTTTATATGTGTTTATAGCGGGTTTATAGTTTGCTATTCTATTTGCTCTCAATGAACTAAACTGGTAGTACAACTACCTATTCCCACCAGTATTAAATTAGTAAAGCAGGAAAAAAACAATTTAAATGGTCTCATCTCACAACAGTAGCACCACTGCACCAATACCTCGACACCAAGCGCGTACCGGAAAGAACCTCAAACAGTGGACCTAGAAGTTAGTAACACCATTGGTGCACCCAGAACACCAAAAGCACCTAATTAACTACTTAACAAAAGAAAAAAGAATTCCATCGCACTAGCTACAGTTCAATTTTATGTCAACTCCGTTTAAACTTTGTCTCCTTTACTATCTTCTCTCTCCCTAAACCGTCTTAAAAAAGTCTCTCTCTCCCTGTGTCACCCCTCGCGCGGGTGACTTGGGGCAAACCCTAACCGTCGCCGCCGCCTGCACTCCCACCCCCTCTATGCCTTGCTGCCGCCGGAGAACCGTGCGAGGAGCTGAGATGGCAGTAGGGCCAAAACGCGGCGCTGCACTATCTCCGACACGAGGGAGACAGAACGACGTGCAGCGAGCCGGTAGCCACAGGGGACGCTCGCCGGCAAGGAAGGGCGGGGATCTACATCGCTGTGGCCGGATCAGGGCCGTGAGGCGCGACAGGCGGCGACGCAGAGAGCTGCGGCGCGGGCGAGCGGTGTGTCCCAGCGGCAGGGCAGAGGGTGAGCAGTGGCGGGCGGTGGCGCAGAGGGCTGTGGCGCGAGCGGTGGAGTCCAAGTGGCGGGGCAGAGGGTGTGCGGCAGCAGGAGGCGGCGGGGAGGGCTGCTACACGGGCGACGGCGCGGCGAGTGCAGGTGGCGGGGCACTTGGCGCGTGGAGTGTGTGAAGCAGCCGAAGGTCACGGATCCGGCGTCCCTGCCCGCCACGGAGAAGAGCCGGCAACAACGGGCGCCCGGTGCGACTGTGCGAGGGATGACGCCGCACTCGTAATGTGTCCAGTGCAGTGCATGGTGGAGGGTATCAATAGGTATTAGCTAGTACCAACTGGCACCGATGGGGTACCAGATCTGGTACTGACGAGCGTTAGACCTGGTATGAATATGTATCAGGATTGATATCTTCTCTTCATCCCAAATAAATTAAATCGTGTACAAAAGTTGGTATTTTTGATAGAGGAAGTGTATATTACATTCGTATCTCGTAGGGTAGGTATAAGATCGGACACCAATGTGTATCATATTCTGTGAACTCCACCATATACCATTGATACAGATAATGTTTGGTTGCTACTTCTATTTGCTAACAGTTCGAAGAGCTAAAAATATGAAAATTACACTATCTGTTTCCATTCTTTAATTTCAGCAGCAGCATATGTACTCAAGAAATCAACAAGATCAAACAGAAAACTCTCCTGATCGGTGATGAAGCAGCAGCATCTGGAGCAGCATCTCGTTCCACACGTCGATGGGTCCAGGCAGGCACCAGTGCACGCAGTCGTTGTACAGCGTCACCTTCTCGTGCGCCCAGTGCCCGTACCTGCTCGGGTGCCCGTCCGCCCGCGCCACCATCACCGCCGTCGTGTCCATCAGCAGCAGCCTCGCCGCGCCACCGCTCGCCGCCGCCGCCGCCGCCTCCGCCCTCCTGAACTCCTCCACCTGCACCGTGTGGAAGTCGAGGTCCAGCCCAGCCATCCGCGCCGCGGTCGGCCGCGTGCGCCGGCAGTCGCCGCCCTTGTTCCACTCCCCGCCCTCGAAGTGCGACGTCGGCGACAGCGTGCGCACGATCACCGTGCCGTCGAAGCCGGCGCCGCCGGCGCCGGCGGTGAGCGCGCGCAGCGCGGTGCGGAACGCGGCGCGCAGGGAGTAGGTGCGCTTGAGGTCGGCGACGCCGGGGACGAGGCAGTGGTGGCAGCCGACGAGGCGGCCGGCCTCGTGGAACATGGTCGGCCGGTTGAACCAGTTGGCCGTGGAGACGACGACGTAGTCGAAGCCCGCCACGGCGGTGGCCCAGGCGGCGTCCGGCTCGTCGAGGTAGAGGTCCCACATCCCGCCGGCGGGGTCCGACGATTGGTTCGCCGTCACGAGATACGGCGACCGGAAGGCGGCGACGGTGAAGTTGTGGGACTCGTAGCGCACCGTCCTGAACTCTGGGTCCTTCGTCGTCGATACATCTTTGGGGTTCTCCACCTGCAAACAAAAACGGTGATATTTTTAGGCAGATTAATCCAGTAATTTGTGCAAACGTCATTTTTTTCTCTTCGATTACACCATAGATGCATATGCACGTATGTCACAACATAAGTAACACAATACTCATACTTATATTTTCACGAATACGCCTCCTACCATATATTTAGGAGATGAAATCAATGAAACATCCCAACTCTCAATAAATTATTTGAAAGTTATCTACATTTACATAATATCCGTAGATACTATAATTTAAAATATAATGGGTGTGTACGAAGTGAGTATAACTTAACTGATTAGGTTCTTGTTCCTTATGGTGGAGACAGTCCACCTAAATTTAAATTTTGATTTGACATGGGTGCTTATATTTACAGTTAACTATTCTTTCAGTAAAAAAATCTAATGGGTGTGTGAAGTCATGTATCCACCACACTTACTTGTGCTTTCCCACAAAACATCACATTTTTACGCGGATTAATCCCGTAATTTGTGCCAACAAATGTGTCAAAATGTTTTGGTTACCTTGGAGAGGAGGCACATGAGGGACTGCATATGGTTCCTGGCGAGCGAGTCGCCGACGAACGCCATCGACCTGCCCCTCACCACCTCCATGAACGCCGCCGCGTCGAACCGCGGCAGCTCGCACCGCTCCGGCCGCCACCGCCACCGCAGGAACCCGAGGTCCGGCCTCCCGTACTTCATGCAGTTCTGGTGCTCCTGGATCTCCCCGCACGTCGCGTTCGTGTAGTACGGCGCCGCGCCGTCGTCGTCGCCGTCGGCGGCGGGCACCCACTCGCCGCGGAAGATGTCGCAGTCCCTCGGCACCCGCGCCACGACGGCGAGGGGTGTCGGCGACGGCGGCGCGCTCCTGGAATAAGCAGGAGGCGCCGCGGACGGCAGCGACGTCGCGACGACGGTGGGCTCGTACCTTCGGAGGAAAGAAGGGCGGCGCGAGCGCGACGACGCCGTGAGTAGCACGACGACGGCGACGGCGAGCGCCGCCGTGAGGGACAAGGCGGCGCGGCTAGCGAACAGGAGCATCTTCATTATCGGCGATGGCCAGCAACGTGGTACAGATTACAGAAGCAAAACCAAGCAGCTTTAAGCTAGCAGCAGCAGCAGCAGCAGCATTGCAGCAATGGCGTCTGCGCCGCGGGTGAGCAAAGGGGGTGAAACTGAGACTCGTGCTGCGGAGCTAGCTGAGAGTTGAGTGGGAGTAAAAGATACTTCCGTAGAGATGGATGGAGCAGGTCATGTCGTTGCTGCATCTTCACTCTTGTCGCATTGTGGCCATTGGTTCCTGGGGGCAGTTGAGTTGGGTGCATGTGAGTGTACTGGGCGTGTTTCACGGCTACACTGTGACGGTAAAGCTTTCATGGTAAAAAGTTAGATCGGAAATGACTCAAAGTCATGATTAGATTGATGGTCAAGTGAGTATTATAGTAGAGTAAATTGTATTTGTTAGGTGAGTGTAATTTAGTGCATAAACTTGTAAAATACTCGTTTTAGTGTATGAAATTGTATGGTGCATGTGGAGGAAGGCGGAAAGGACACTACATGGCTAATCTTATTGATTTAGAAGCAGATTAGGATACTATGTAAACATATATCTGAGAAGATTGCTATTAGACATACACCTCTTTAGTAAAAATAGAATATAATATAGTGATAGTAGAAAAAGATTAAAAAATCCGAGCAATGATGTAAGGGTTAGAAATATATGAAATTCATCATTTCCACGATGAAGGATAAAGTAGAGACCAAATTTATAAATATTGCATTTCTTATGCATAATCACTACACGTACACACGTCACATCCTAATCAACATCAGCTTTGTAAAATTAACATTACTAAGTTATTTTGGTCTTCGTTCGTACGAACTAGACAAGTTCGTGTACTGAAACGAGCATTTTACAAGTTTATATACTAAATTACACCTATCTAACAAGTTTGTGTACCGCCAATACAATTTACTCAGTATAGTACCTCCGTTTTCTAATACACGATGTCGTTAACTTTTGAGCATATGTCTGACCATTCGACTTATTCCAAAAAATTATGTAAATGTATAAGATATAAGTATGCTTATTATAATTACATAATTCTTTTTAATATGACAAATGGTAAAACGTGTGACAAATTCAATGGCATTATCTATTAAAAAAAGGAGATAGTATAGGCTTTCATCGTTTCCTTTTTTTTCTTTCCGAAAACATTAGGGAATTACCTCCATTTCATTAAAAAGAAAAGAAAAGAAAATCGAAAGTAGGGAAAGTACTACCTCTGTCCCATAATAATTGTATTTTTGTAGGATTCAAATTTGTCTCAAAATAATTTTCACAATAGAGTACTAATTGTTCTATCAATCACTTTTCATTCAAATTTCTTCCTATTATATCCTCAAAAACCCTCCTACTTTTATCTATACACCGATTAATGATGGACATCATAGTCTCACTTTTCAAACCTTAATATATTCCGAAATTATAATTATTTTGGGACGGGTAGTACTGAACGTCATCTAACAAACATGGGTCGTTCGATTTCGATTCCGGATGATGCAAACCATCCGATCCTTCAACTGATGAAACCTTCTCGTGATCCTTCACGAAACTTCTTTTTTCAAGGAAGTCCTTCCACGTCCCTGCTAGGGGAAAAAAAATCGCATTTTGTCGTTCACGGTGTTGCTAGCTAGGCTGCGACCCCTCCTCTCCTTGCAGGCGCCACGCCGCCTTTCCATCCCGGGCGCCACTGCACCGCCGTCTCCACATCCCTGGAGCCCCGCCACCGTATCCTCTCCAACCCCATCCCCTCATCCTCCTCCACCCCTGCCACAGCCTCCTCCTCCCCATCCCCACTGTCGTTTCCTCGCCATCCCCATCGATGTCTTCTCTTCCCCATCTTCAGTGGCACTACCATGACCTCCTCCTATCCATCTCCGACAGAAGCTGCAGATCTGGTGTCCTTCCATCTTCTTTGCTCCCTATTCCTCGCAATGGGGAAGGTCAACACCTCTGCCTCCTTTCGTGCTGGTGACTCCAATGCTTCTACCTGTCTCCATCCCTAATTCGCCACTAGGAGGCACGGTGAAGCAAAGACAAAAGGGAGACGCGGAGGGGAATATGGCGGCAGATTGGGAGGGGAGATGGTCATATGGAGATGGAGGCGGAAAGGGCCTCTTCGTCACGTATAGCAACTTGTGCTTCCACTCCGCTTCCACTTACGGCCTCCGCCTGACCGTGAGTACATTTTATAGAACTTGTCTAGCCTCATGTTCAACTTTGGTGGATAACCATATTTTGTTCATCTGAGGTGCGGCGGCCGCCGGCGTTAGGCCCATGGGGGCGGGAGTGGAGGAGGCCACGCCTCTCCACGTCGTCCTTATCTGCGCCGGCGAGAGGAGGGAGCAGAGGGGAGATATAGAGAGAGGGGAAGAAGAGGAAGGGATTGAGAATGACAGGTGGGGCCCACGTTGACCCCACCATTTTTTTATTATTGTGTGTGAAACTGACATGTGGGTCCCATAAGTTTTATTATTTTTTGGATCGAATTGCCATGTAAGCGCCACGTCAGATGAAGACCGAGTCAAATTAGCCACACGTAGGCGCTACGTCAGCTAAAACCTCCATCCAGACCGCCATGGGACCTATAGTGCACCGGGTTTGACAGTTGAGGGACCCATTGTATCTGGTTTTTCGGTGGAAGGATGAAAATCGGATTCGTTGACAATTTAAGGGACCTCAAATGAACTTATTCCTAACTCCTTATCATTGCAATCAATCATTGATTGATGCTTATACAAAACATTTCAGTAAAGGGCCATGTTGAACTGGTGATAATTCCATAAATTATACAAATTGAATAGGCTGCCACATTTCCAAATTAAATGGTAATCTAATTTATTTCCTCGGTTAATTAATTTCAGGTATACCGTAGCAACGATGTTTTAGTGCTGCTGTAAAGAATATAACAATGGACATAACTGTAGTTGGTGCAACTGGAGGATAGAATAAATTAACATGAAGTTTCAACTAGAGTTGCAGTTAGTAACATAGGAGTATTATGTTAATTGCCTCATTACTTTTGGAGAGGTTCATACCAATTTAGTTTGTTTTTATACTATTTCTGAATCAATGGTTTGTTCTATTAACATGTTGTAACCTCGGAATAATTCCTTTCATGGACGGTCACCACCATAGTCTTTGTCTCTATTGTGCTAGTACTGATTTCTACGAAAGAACAGTCAAGGGGCCTGTTTGGGGGAGTTAGCTGTTGTAGCTTCTTCCAGAATCAGAAGCTCCCCCCAAACAGTCATCTTTTGGTCTAAATTTTGAGAATCTGTAGTTATAGAATCCATAAAATAAACTAGAAGCCTTTCTAGATTCTCAGAAGCTGGCTACCAGTCAGCTGCTTCTTAGAATCTTAAGCTCTCCCAAACAGGCCCAAGGTCTCATTCCCAGCTGCTTAATTCGATTGTGTCATGTCTCTTATCATCCTTCCCTGTCTATGGATTTGGATTTTAGCCTTTCAAATATATATGCACATTATAAATTCTAACGTTTGCTAACTTCTCCTTTATTTCATAAGCCCAAAAGACCAAAATGATTTGGCTCCATGATTGCCTAGAGAGTTACTCTAAGTTCTTTACCATCTATTAGATGTACACAACTCAACATTTAAGCTTAGAACATACTATATGCCTTATTCTGCATTGGCATCGGAAAAGAAATGTTGTACTCTTTGTATCAGCACTACAGATACAATTTGTTGAGTTTGGATTTGCAATGTTGGCTGTGTTTAGTTCCCTTTAAACTTTAAACTTTTCAGTCACATCAAATGTTTGGACACAACATGGAGTATTAAATATAGATGAAAAAAACCAATTGCACAGTTTGCATGTAAATTTCGAAATAAATCTTTTGAGCCTAATTACACCATGATTTGACAACGTGGTGCTACATTAAAAATTTGCTAATGACGGATTAATTAGGCTTAATAGATTTGTCTCGCAGTTTACAGACGCAATCTGTAATTTGTTTTGTTATTAGTCTACGTTTAATACTTCAAATATGTGTTCGTATACGTCAACTTTTTTTTTGCCAAAAGAACTAAACACGGCCTATAGTCTTTAAATGAAGTAAGATTTCAAAATTTGTAACCACCTTCTTATCATATATATAATGGACCATATATGCAGGGTTATTATACGGGCATTTAAAGTCGCGTAAAGCGTGACAACATGGCTAGTTATGTTAGTAAATCAAGAGAAAAAAAACTTCAGAAAATCAGAACTCACGACACCAACAACCACTGTGTCAACACTAAAGACCACACCGGAAAGCAACTCAATCACTGCACCTAACAACACATTTGGTGCACCCAAAGCAACATGTATCATTATAAAGTGCTTTTAACGTAAATATCGTACTCCCTCCATTTCACAATGTAAGTCATTTTAGCATTTTTCACAATTATATTGATAGTATCTATATAGATTTATTAACATCAATATAATTGTGGAAAATGCTAGAATGACTTACATTGTGAAACGGAGGGAGTAGTAAGTAGAGGAACTAAAAATGTATGTAAACAATAAAAATGAGTCAAACCAAGTAATAACTCCACTTAAGGTGATTCTAATATTGAAATCGTCTCAGGTACAACTCTGTCATAATTTTATCATAATTTAGGCTATTTACTAACAACCTAAACATATATATATCTATTAAATTCATCCCTACTAAATGTTAATGCTAATTCTCTCTTCTCTCGTAAAGCCATATCATCTCAATTGATTTTGTCTTTGAATGATTCATTAGGGGTACAAATTACACCCTTTTCTCCCCAAAAGCCTCCTCATACAACACACTCATTTGTATCCTTTGGATAATTTATCAAGGTACAACATATATAAGCACATAAAAGAAAAAAATGTATAATAATAAAGTAAGAAATAAAATTTTACAACTCATATATACTATTTTATTAGAAAAATCATACAATATTTGAAAAAGTACCTTGAGGTATATATCTAAACTTTACGCTAAAATTTTTGCTAACTTAGGTAATTAGTACCTGAAGGTACCAAACTTTACACTGGAAAATATGGTACCTCCAGATATCCTTTTAAGGATGATAAAATTATATATTTTATTACACAATTCTCCCGTAGTAATGCGCGGGTATCCATCTAGTTTACTTAACAAAAGAATATTTCCACATCTTGGGTGGAAATCATTAGAAGACGGCATATGTCACAACCCAAACTGTTAAGTACAGTAATTAACCATTAATCCTTCCTATGTAAGTTAATTAAGCCTTGATAATCCTAATGATTAAATATGTTTATCAGACCTTAATCCAATTATCGTAGCTCCTAATTACAATATTTAACCGTTAATCTGGTTTTAAGTATAGTGATTAAGTGCTATATATGCACGTGCTAACGCTACGGCGGTAATTGATGGCTTGTTATGTTGGCTTAACGAAATAAATAATTGAAACTGAACTCTTACAAGGGAAATACGCTTGTAATAGTACGTCTGTTTGTGTCACAGTACCATTACTAAGAAAACCGGATTGGTGCCGGTTGGGAAGCCCACTTAATGCCGGATTTGCTTTGAATGCAAATTATGAGTGGTTAAAATAATAGGTTTATTATATCTCATGAGTTAAACACTATGCTGTTCCCACTTTCAAGAGAGCTAAAAATATATTTTACATCTTAGTGTGTACTTAACATTGTATTTCTTTTCAAAACTGTCAGGGTTATAGATACCATATACCTAATAGTAGTTGACTAAATCTCGGCAGGACCCACCACATACTATGTTTTATACGAATACAACCTTCGTATATAGAAGGAGTTTCGCATAAGGAAGGATGAATAGAATTCTACATGGAAACGACAAGGACTTGTATCCATATTGGTCTCCCTAGTTCTACTTGGACAAGGGGACACCTATGGGTATAATACAAGACCCCCTAGGAGGAGAGGGGACACGGAACAACAGAAGCCACAAGCCAATACAAGCCTACATACGCCAAGACAAGCTGCCAGATATCGACATCAGAGATAAGCCTAGGAAAACCCCATATGGTACCTACGGGAACCAAAGAGAGGAATCTAGCGCTATCTCTGATCTCGTCGGGCACAGATTTGAGGAGGAAGACTACTCTGTTGTCGACTACGTGATGATATTTCAGTCCGTTATGTCGACAACAGTTAGATAGGCTACCCCAAATATTGTACTAGTGTGATTATGATGAATAAGAGTAACGACCGGCTTCGGCCAATAGGATGTAGGGCTATTACCTGACAAAATCAGGGGCCCAAATCTGTATAAAAATCCCTGTCTATGTTTTTTTACCTCAGTTTCGCATATATCCTAGTTTCAACAATCCCCATACTATGCAAATACCGGATTCGCGACATCAAACATCGACAAAAACCTATATAGCAATCTTTGTTTTCCAAGTCTACATGCTATAGTTGTTTTAGCTTAATGTTTTACACCTATATATTTGTCCTCAAAAAATAAAAAATATTATGTTATTAGTGTAAAATTGGACTTATCCAGATATGTTATATTTTTATACATATTTTAAAAATGAAAGCTCACGTTTTATGGTCAGAGTTACAGAAAATCACATGTGTTATGAATTGTAACACGTAACCACGGGTTTTATAGTCTAAATGTTTTATAAAACCAACACACTCTATGTTTTGTGAAACTTTTGAACCATAATAGATGGGGTCAGGTGGCACTAATCGTAATACCGGGTTTTTATGCAATTAACCACAAAACATCAGGTATTTTGAAATTTGCTCAATATATTTTTAAGACATCCATGGTCAAATTTAATCTTGAAGACTTTTCAAAATTAAATACTCTAATAATCCAGATAGAAAATAAAATTATACATAACTATACATACATAACGCTTGGACTATATTTGCATTAGTCACTAGTGGGGTGTGGTGGTGAGTTATGCATGGATTAACCTAGTATATGTATTGCACTTTCCATAGAAATTTAGTGGCTTTAGAGATTTACTGTTGGTATTCATCTATATGAGTATGTGTTAGATGGTACATCCATGTAATCGGAGAAAAAAAAATTAAGAAACGTATACGACGCTGGGTTGGGGAATATCGTGTGATAGGGAAAAATAAGATTTAGACATAAAGGATGTTGGATAACACGTGTTAGGGGAAAATGGATTTAGACATAAAAGATGCTGGATACAGAAGAGAGGAGCCAAATAGCCAATGTGCTTGTCTGCATGTGTGTTGACAGACGCTTTGTGTAATTTGGAAAAAAAAATATGTACACGACGACACTGATCTGACTAGATAAAATCGGTATCATTTCGGGTTAGGAGGGCCGTAAATCGGACGACAACCATGGGTGTGGCTGATCGGCGACCAGCCGCGCGGGCCTGCACCCGCGCGGTCAGTCCTGCCTGTCAGTCCATTAGTACAACAACTACTGCTACAATACTACTAATACTAATACTACTATCACTACATTATTATTTCTACCTGTAATACTAGTACTATTATAATTGTTTTTATATGTATATATACACATATACAAAGTTTATATATGATGTATACAAAATTTATATACATGTATACAAACTTTGTATACGTGTATTTTTGGTTTTTTTATATACGTGTATGTATAAAAATAAAAAAATACACACATATATAAACTTTGTATACGTGTATACAAAGTTTGTATATATTATATATGCATATACAAAAGTTTTAGGTTTTTATTTACGTGTATGTATAAAAATAAAAAAAATATACATATATAAACTTTGTATACACGTATACAAAGTTTGTATATACCCGTATACAAACTTTATATAGACGTATATAAAGTTTGTATAGGTGTATACAAAGTTTGTAAACGTATGTATAAAACAAAAATAACTGAAAAAGATACGAAAAGAAAAAAACAGAAAAAACAAAAAAAAAGAAAGAAAAAAACAGAAAAAAGAAAAAAGAAACCGTCCAAAAAAAATTGGGCCAATTCCCTACATGCCCATGTAATTTCACCCAGTCCCTTCTACGCCCCTGAAATTTGTTTGATCTCTTATATACCCCTGAGTTTTTATTCCGATCCCTTATATACCCATTCCGTTAGTTGACCATTAATTTGACCGTTAGTAATTGTAGAAATTAATTTATTGTCCTTGGTATATTGTTAAAAGCTAGAAATGTTTTATGTGTAAATTATTTGTGATGTGAAAATCAATAAGGAATAAATTACTAAATATTTGTTATGAATTTTTAAAAATAAAACATTATTTCATTAAAATAAAAAAGATTTATTGTAAAAAAAGTTCTGCATAAAATTTGAAAATTACTTTTCAACAAATATTTAGTGAAAAAAGATTCGTTGTGAAAAAACAAAGGGGGTGTAATTAGTTTATCACAAATTAGAAAACAAATTAAAAAATTTTAAATAAATTTCAGATCAAATTTGATGAATTTCGTATATCTTCCCAAAAAATTAAACCTAAATAACATTTAGTTTTTGCTCTTAATTTTTTGGTGAAACTAATGTATGGATTTAATCATAATTTTTAAAAAATAAATAATAATAAGTTTTATTTTTTAAGTTGGGCATTAAATGATTATATTGCTTGTATTTTGTATAAGTTAATTTTTTCATATGAAAATTTATTGGGTAGGTACCACATATGTATAGGATGGGTAATATAGTCATTTTAAAATATTTAACGGTCAACTAATGGTCAACTAACGGAGATGGGTATAGAGGAGATCAAAATGAAAACTCAGGGGTATATAAGGGATGATGTCAAATTCAGGTGTATTGAAGGGATTGAGTAAATTTTCAGGGGTATATAGAGAATTTTCTCAAAAAAATTCCACGCGCCGTCCTCCACCCTCCTCCCGCGCGCGACACGCGTCCAGTCGCGCGCGCGCGGGGGAGGGGGCGCGCGACTGAACGCTAATTAGCGTTCTCGGACAAGCAAACCTGTGGGCGGGTTGATCAACACGACGTCAGCCCACGGGCCGAAGCAGATGCGGAGCTGGCGGGAGAAAAACTAGGCCGAGCGCTCCACGTCTCTGACTAGGCCAGCCCAGTGGATTAGTCAGCAGTGGGCCTTATTGGGGTTGAATATGTCAGTCAAACTTTGTAGGCAAAGGATTAGGAGAAAAAAATAAGGGAGTAAGCTATATTTATGACGCTATATTTTTCACCAAAAAGTAGTCAGCATGTATTTACATTGTAAGTACATAAATTACATATGTAATTTTAGTGTATGTGTAACGTAAGTCCCAAAATTACATATGTAAATCCGAAAATTACATATGTAAGTTTTAAAATTACATATGTAATCTATTATATTATTAAAGGAATAGAAAAATGAGTCTCCACGTTCGCTCTCATGATCTAGAAATTCTCACATTAATCGGAGAAAAAGAAAAGGCAGAGTTCATATAGAAATACAATTTAGAAATAGCTAAAATTCGGAATTGAAAAAATAAGGAATATTAGAAGAGGAGACTAGAGTTCATATATAAATACAATTTAGAAAGAGTTGAAATTCGGAATTAAAAAATAAGGAATATTGGAAGAGAAGACTAGAGTCCATATGAAAATAGTACAATTTAGAAAGAGTTGAAGTTCGGAATTAAAAATAAGGAATATTGGAAGAGAAGACTAGAGTCCATATAGAAATACAATTTATAAATAACTGAAATTCGAAATTAAAAAATAAATAATATTAGAAGAAGAGTATAGAGTCCATATAGAAATACAATTAAGAAATAATAGAAATTCAGAATTAAAAAATAAGGAATATTGGAAGAGTAGACTAGAATCCATATAGAAATATAATTTATAAATAACTGAATTCGAAATTAAAAAATAAAGAATATTGAAAGAAGAGTATAGAGTCCATATAGAAATACAATTAAGAAATAATAGAAATTTGGAATTAAAAATAAGGAATATTAGACGTAGAGTATAGAGTCCATATAGAAATTTAAAACTAACTAAAATTTGGAATAAATATAATAAAATTAAAAGTAGAGTTTAGAGTCCGTATAAAAATATAATTTACAAATAACTAAAATTTGAAATTTAAACAAAACATGGGAATAAAAGTCTAAAGTCAATATAGGAATACAATTTAGAACTAACTAAAATTTGAAACTAAAAATTAAAGAATATTGAAAGATGAGTTTAGAGTCCACATAGAAATACAATTAGAAATAATAAAAATCTTAGAATTAAAAATAAATAATTTTGGAAGAAGAGACTAGAGTCTATATACAAATATAATTTACAAATAATGAAAATTCGGATTTAAAAAATATTGAAAAACGAGTCTAGAGTCCATAGAGGAATATAATTTACAAATAACTAAAATTTGATATTAAAAATAATTAATAACTAACACGTATATAAAAATACAATATGAATATTACACATTAGTAGTTTCGTAAAGTTAGTACAAAATTTAAAATTATGCTGTCATTTTAATTTATTTGAATAATACATTAAGAAAACATATATACTATTATATGAGAGAAAATATAATGATGCTAGCCGCGCAATCTGTGCGGGCCGCCATGCTAGTTATAGTGTAAATAGTATGTAACTATGATGTAACTAACGTGTTATCATCCATATAGGAAAAATCCGATGCTAATAAAAAAAGTCAAAGGATTAATAACGATAAAAAGGAAAGCTGCATCCCTCAAGCGTTTATCCACCGTACATCAAATCATCAACGGCAGAGATCCGACTGTTTTCACAAAAAAACATGCGACACAGATATAGCTCATCCGAAAAAAAGAAAAGAGCAGCAAATCCACGCATGAATCATGTCCTTTTTTTTTAACAGCAAAAACGCATGATGCTCGTACTTGACATGCGGCTTGCCTTTGTTCCCGCGCGTTGGTTCGCACGCTAGAACTGATATACTCTCTCTCAAAATACTACACACACAGAGACTTTAGATTTGTTTGGTAGACTTTTAATTTCTAAATTTAACTTTAGAAGTTAGGTTTAAAGTGGAGTTACAAAACAGATTAAACCTAGCTTCATCTCTCTAGTTTATTTTGTGAGAGCTTTCCACACAGCTTTATTTTTATTTTCGGTGGAGCTAAAACTATTTGGTTGGGTTTCAGCTGAAGCTAAACCGGTGTGAAACATGCTCTTTACAAGTGCTTCGAATCATCAGGGTTGTGCGGAGGTGCTCGATTCCGCTTTGCATGACACACTGATGCCATCTCCATCCATGGCCTCCTGCAGAACGAACCGCACGCGCACGGCCGGCACCCTCATCTTCCGGCCCATTTTGGCGTGTTTTCCCTTTGCATTCTGAGCGTTTCCTTCGCCTCCCCGTGCCTCTCAATTCAAAACTTCTTTTTTATCGATTGCTCAGATTGATTCTGTTCCCCAAAGCTAGCGCTTATCAAAATCGAATGGGACTGACACCATCATCCACTTGCCCGTCACGTGAACGATCTGAAGTACTACTCATCCATACACGCTGATCGCTAATTAAACAGGACCAAAGCGAGCACTTTTTGCCTTAAACCCCGTAGAACACACCGCCGTCACATGAACCCAACCGGACATTGCCTCCAAACCCCTGGAATAATAATACCCGACCATACGGCTATCCCGTTCTCCACAGTTTAGTTTTTGTTACCACGTTATTCAAACTGTTAAACGGTATTGTCGATACGAAAACATTTTATATAGAAACTTTTCTAAATACTAAATGAACTTACTTTTTAAATTTAAAATAAATAAAACTTAATTAATCATGTGCTAATAACTTTTTTTTTCATTTTAAGTATTACTACGCACTTAATTTTTGTCCGCTGGATTCTCGAATGCGGTCAAAGTGCAACGACGACGTGACCACCCGAGGTCAGATATTTATTAGCTGCAGCGATCGAACTCGCCGTCTCACCTGCGACGCAGTCAAATCGATCGCCATTGCTGCAGCTTGGCAGCTTCTGTAGATAGATATTACACGTTGCCAATGACGAAGAAGAAGCTTCAGGTCGTCAGGCCCAGAGCGGTGTCGCCGCTCCCGGCGCTCGCCGCCGCCGCCGCCGTCGCCGTCGTCCTCCTCCTCCTCACGGCGGCGGGACGCCCTTCTTTCCTCGGAAGATACGAGGCTATCACCATCAGCGGCGTCGCGTCGCTGCCGTTCGGTTACTCCTCGGAGAGCGCGCGGCGCGCACCACCGGCCGTCGCCGTGGCGCGGGTGCCGAGCGACTGCGACATCTTCCGCGGCGAGTGGGTGCCCGACGACGGCGGCGGCGCGGCGCCGTACTACACGAACGAGAGCTGCCCGTTGATCCAGGAGCACCAGAACTGCATGAAGTACGGGAGGCCCGACCTCGGGTTCCTCCGGTGGCGGTGGCGGCCGGAGCGCTGCGAGCTCCCGCGGTTCGACGCGGCGGCGTTCTTGGAGCTCGTCAGAGGCAAGTCGATGGCGTTCGTCGGAGACTCGCTCGCCAGGAACCATATGCAGTCGCTCATGTGCCTCCTCTCCAAGGTAACCAAAATATTTTGGTACTACATTTTTTTTTCTTACATATTTTTTCATCAGGATCAATCCGCGAAAAGAAATGTAATCTTTTCGCACAAAGTACAGGATTAATTAATCCGCGTAAATTGTGATCTTTTGTATACAAAGTACAGGATGAATCCGTGTACGAATGGTGATATTTTGTACATAGTACAGGATTAATGTGCGTTAAAATTTCGATCCTTTTGCACAAAGTACAGGATGAATCCGCTTAAAATTAAATTGTGATGTTTTTTTTTTTTGAAGGTGGAGTACCCGAAGGACGTGTCGAAGACGACGGATCCGGGGTTCAGGACGATGCACTACGGGTCCCACAACTTCACCATCGCCGTCTTCTGGTCGCCGTACCTCGTGACGGCGAACCAGTCGTCGGACCCCGCCGCCGGAGGGCTGTGGGACCTCTACCTCGACGAGCCGGACGCCGCCTGGGCGGTCGCCGTGGCGGGCTTCGACTACGCCGTCGTCTCCGCGGCGAACTGGTTCACCCGCCCGTCCATGTTCCACGAGCGCGGCCGCCTCGTCGGCTGCCACTACTGCCTCGTCCCGGGCGTCCCCGACCTCACGCTCCGCTACTCCCTCCGCGCCGCGTTCCGCACCGCGCTGCGCGCGCTCGCCGCCGGCGCCGGCGGCGCCGGCGTGTTCAACGGCACGGCGATCGTTCGCACGCTGTCGCCGACGTCGCACTTCGAGGGCGGGGAGTGGAACAAGGGCGGCGACTGCCGGCGCACGCGGCCGTCCACGGCGAACGAGACGCGGATGTCCGGGCTGGACCTCGACTTCCACACGGCGCAGGTGGAGGAGTTCAGGAGGGCGGCCATGGCGAGCGGGCGGAGCGCGGCGAGGCTGCTGCTGATGGACACGACGGCGGCGATGGTGCTCCGGCCGGACGGGCACCCGAGCAGATACGGGCACTGGGCGCACGAGAAGGTGACGCTGTACAACGACTGCGTGCACTGGTGCCTCCCTGGACCCATCGACGTGTGGAACGAGATGCTGCTCCAGATGCTGCTGCTCCATCAACCAGGAGCTGTTTCTGTTTGATCTTTGTAGTTTGTTCTTGACTACTACTTGTTGATTGGATTAAAGAATAGGTTCAGTTCACCATTTCGACCATCAATTTTACAAGTGCTCGAGTGCACAATGTGTAGAATTCCACTCTGATCACTTATGTGCCTAATGACGTATCAACAATTGCAGTTTTCAAGCTTTAACAATCGAGTAATTAGCCAATCATCTCAGCTTCATACTGCCGCCGGGCTGGATAGGTAAGGTTCACATTTTTAGTTTTAGCACAAGTGGATCAAGTTGGGATATGTGCGCAATCCGGGAAGTGGGTTTCTTGTGTCATCATCAAAATTCTCTGCATACGGCTTTAACGGGGAAACTGTTTTAAACCTTAAGGGTGTGTTTGGATAATGAGTTACGAGAGGTGGGATTGGAAAATGGAAATGAATGGAGGAACATGATGAAATGGAGTGAGAAGAATGGATAGCTAAAATTGAAACTTATCCTTTCAAGGATGGGAAATCATATCCCAAACCTATTATCCAAACATGGCTCCCATCATTTGTCTGCAAACCATTTAAATAGTTATGAAAATAGAAAAAAATGGCAACATTCATATATCATATATAGCACTGTACAAAAGTTTAGGTCCAAACTTAACTCATGCAATGAGATATAAAAAAGATAAATTCGGATAGGAATAGTAGTGGTAGTATTCATATCCTAATATGTCATTTTTGTTTCTCAATGTGTATATCAAATTTGTTAACTTGATTTTTGGTGCAGTGCTATATGTTACTATACTCTACATTATCAAATTTTTTATAACTATTTACATTGAATTTGGAAGAAAAGATACACGAGGGGACATCCTCTTGAGGGACCACCCAAAAAAATACTATCCTAAATATCAATTATCTATGCAGAAGAAAATATATATCCCTCCATGAAACATAAAAGGACAAATTCGTCCTACATACGCGTATACGAAGATAGCAGAATAGCAAGTTTAACCACGAGTGAGGATGCACTTTTTTTTTTGTCTGATCTGTTATTTTTATCCCTCTACGTGTAAATTAAATTTGGCGTTTTGTATTTGTGGAGGGACATGTAACACGACAAGCAATATTATCATAAGGTTTTCAGAATTTGTTCGAACTATTTAGAATGTTTGCAACAACGAGCACGCAAGTTTTTCAGAATTTTTTTTACTTGAAATCATTTCATGCATGAAGATTTAAAACATTTTTTCTTGAAAATGGCCTCCCCCTAACCGAACTGGATAGCTACGGAGCACGCCGATAATAACATTTGGGTTTCATGGCAAGTGGATGAAAGTAGGATATGATGCACAATTCGCTTCCCAGTCACCTTCCAAATACTCTGGATATTCATGACCTAATGAGCAATTGTATGTGCAGTGCAAGGAGCTGAGAACTAACTGCAACGCACAAATATATATACACCTGAATGGACTCTACTATTGCAAGTGTTTCACACACAATTCTTGAGATAGATATAGATTCTTAGTTTCCTCCCAGTGCCAATGACGCCTCTTAATAATCTCTGCAATTTTCGTGTCAAGAAGCAGTACTACAACCCCAGGTGCTTGATCCCCGCCGTCTCTCTCCTCCTATTCGTCGTCATCCTCACCGTCTCTAATACATACTTCCCCTTCCCGACAACTAAGTCGCGAACACTGTCTTACTCTTCCTTCTCCTCCTCCCCCGGTGGGCAGAAGGCCGCCGACGAGGCCTGCAACATATTTAGGGGAGAGTGGGTTCCGGATCCTGATGCACCTTACTACACCAACAACACCTGCTCGGTCATCCACGAGCACTATGACTGTATGAAGTACGGAAAGCCGGACCTTGGCTTCGTGCAGTGGCGGTGGCGTCCCGACAGTTGTGATCTCCCCCGTCTCGACCCGGCGCGCTTCCTCTCCTCCATGAGGGGGAAGACCTTGGCCTTCATTGGGGATTCCCTTGCCAGGAACCACATGAACTCCCTCATCTGTCTACTGACCAGGGTAAAAAAGTGAAAAACGTGCCGGATTTGCTACAGTACTAGCTTCGATCTGACCCGTCGATCGCTTGATCGGACGGTCAGAAATGGGCCAGCAGCAACAAGGGTGTGACGTTTTGTTGGCCGGCCTGCAGGTCGCCGAGCCGACGACGAGCTGGCCGAGCAGCGAGCACACGGTGTACCACTACGGCGGCGGCTACAACTTCACCGTCCTCAGCTTCTGGGCGCCGTTCCTGGTCCAGAACGAGCTCGTCGACGCCGACGGGCCGGCGCACACGGGCCTGTGGAACCTCTACCTCGACGAGCCCGACGCAGTGTGGGCGCCGCACGTCCCGGCGTTCGACTACGCCGTCGTGTCGGCGTCGAGCTGGTTCTACCGGCCGTCGATGCTGTACGAGGCCGGCCGGCTCGTGGGCTGCCACCACTGCCTCCTCCCCAACGTCACCGACCTCACGCTGCGGTACGCGCTCCGCATGGCCACCCGCGCCGCGCTCCGCGCCGTGGTGGGCGGCGGCGGCGGCGGCGGCGTGACCGCCGTGCTTCGGACCGTGTCGCCGTCGCAGTACGAGGGCGGGGAGTGGAACAAGGACGGGAACTGCGTCCGGACGCGGCCGTACCGGCGCGGCGAGAAGACGCTGCAGGGCGTCGAGCTCGACTTCCACACGCTGCAGGTTAATTTCTTGATTTTTCTCCATTGATCTAGTGATCAATTATCTTGTTCTTTCTAGGGAACGTGTGTTCTGAGCTTCGTAGGTGGAGGAGTTCGAGGCGGCGAAGAGGGCGGCGAGCGGCGGTGGGGCGAGGATGATGCTGATGGACACGACGGAGGCGATGATACTGCGGGCGGACGCGCACCCGAGCAGGTACAGGGGATGGACGCGTCGCAAGGGATGGATGAAGGAGTACTTCACCATCTCCAACGACTGCGTGCACTGGTGCGTCCCCGGCGCCGTCGACGCCTGGAACGACATGCTCTCACACATGTTGCTCACATCGCAAAGCTAGTTAGTTAGGTTATTGATCAAACGAACGTAGCAGCCGAAAAAAACAGAGAAAAATACATTCACTCCTGAATTCAGTCTAGAATTTCAAAACCACCGTCCATGATCCATGTGAATTTCTAGCAAATTGCACGAGCTGAACTCAAACATTTTGGTCCTGTTTGCTGCATTCGCAAAGGGTTATTGTGATTCCGTCTGTATGGACCTAAATCGACCTGAGGCCCAATATTGCGAAAAATTTCAGAACAAACATCGTAATCGATTTGAGATACTATATTGATATTTTGTGACAAATCTGGAAGAATTAGGAATAATCTAGCCGATTCAAAAGCAGTGGTTGAACTCAAGTTGGCTGATCTCGACATGCAGTCAAAAGATTATCAGACAGAAAGGGAAAGCTGCTGCTAGGCTAGCTCATACAGGTGGCCAGTGCCCCTGGTCTCAAACCACCACACCTGTTTAGCACTTCGATTCTTTCCATTTCGCCAAGACCTAGTAATAAACAGGTGGTTATCTCAAACTACACGCGTGGAATCCACCATCCCAAGTGTACGCTGAATGCTAATTTATCACGTAATCTAATGAATATTCGTGACAAAAACTGCAGAAAAAATTCGATGTATATACAGCAATCTCATCTCATTTCATATCCATGAGCTAAGCTAAGCTGTAGTGTGGACGTTGACCAACCAGGTCGATGATGAAGTTTCACGAGGTGATCAAGCTGCCATCCATTGCTCATTACGGCCTACGCTATGTGCTTCCCGCCGCCGCCGTCGCCGCGTGCGTTCTGGTGCTCGCCACCGTCAGCCTACCCGGCCGCGTGCCGCTGCCGCTGCTGCTGGCGCCGGAGGTGATGACGAAGACGGCGGATGGCGTCGGCGGCGACACGTCTGGCTGTGACATCTTCAAGGGCGAGTGGGTGCCGGACATGGCCGGCGAGCCGCCGCCGTACACCAGCGAGAGCTGTCCGGTGATCCATGGACACTATGATTGCATGCGGTACGGACGGCCGGATCTTGGGTACGTCCGGTGGCGGTGGCGGCCGGACGGCGGGTGCGAGCTGCTGCGGTTCGACGCGGCGAGGTTTCTCGCCGCGATGAGGGGCAGGTCGGTGGCGTTCGTCGGGGACTCGCTGGCGAGGAACCAGATGCACTCGCTGGTGTGCCTCCTGTCGCACGCCGAGCGGCCGGCGCCGTGGACGAACGGCAGCTACGCGTACCGCTTCGAGCGGCACGGCCTCACCGTCACGGCGTTCTGGTCGCCGTTCCTCGTCCGCGCCGTCGAGACGGACCCCGACGGCCCGACGGGGAGCGGCTCCGGCCTGTGGAGCCTCCACCTCGACGAGCCCGACGCCGGGTGGGCGGCGCACGTCGGCGCGTTCGACTACGTCGTCGTCTCCGCCGGGAGCTGGTTCTACCGGCCGTCGATGTTCTACGACCGCCGCGGCCGCCTCGTCGGGTGCAACACCTGCCTGTCCCCGAACGTCACCGACCTCACCCTCCGTTACTCCCTCCGGATGGCGTTCCGGAGCGCGCTCCGGGCGGCGGCGACGGGCTCGCACCGCCACGCCACGAGGAGGACGGTGATCGTGCGGACGATCTCGCCGTCGCACTACGAGAACGGGACGTGGAACGGGGACGGGGACTGCCTCCGGACTCGGCCGGCGCGGCGCGGCGAGTGGGAGTTGAACGCCATGGAGAAGGACATGCACCGGATACAGGTCGAGGAGTTCGCGGCGGCGGCGGAGGAGACGGCGGGGAAGAGGGGGAAAGAGGCGGCGAGGATGCTGCTGATGGACGCGACGGAGGCCATGGCGCAGCGGCCGGACGGCCACCCGAGCAAGTACAGGCTGTGGCAGCCGGACAAGTTCAAGGTGTCGCGGGACTGCGTGCACTGGTGCCTTCCCGGCGCCATGGACGCCTGCAACGACATGCTGTTCCACATGCTCATCGGGTGATGGCTGATGCCCGTTCTTCTCATTATGGCTCGTCGATTTTTTTTTCTTTAAAAAAATACATCAGCATTGTTTAGATAGCTTGGGAGCCTGCTATTGATGGGATGTCTGATTTTTTTCAAATCATTGGAAAGTATTGCACCGTGTTATTGATGTTCACATGTTTCACCCTTCGATAAAAATTGTTGCAACAAAAGTGTTCTAGATGTTTCACAATAAGAGAAATGTTTCCGCACTAGAGCATAGTTGTTTCAACTAAATACACTACTAAAACATATCGATTGCAACACCAAGAAATCAATGTATACAATATTGAATCAAAACGAAATAAAACACCTTAATACAATCAAGTAAAAAAAATACAAATAAACCGTAACATCACTTTAATTCACAATAAAACCCACTCCTCTGACTTCTATTCCGGCCACCGAAACCAAGCAGCTGGCATGAGGAGACAAGTGACATGATGCGTAGACGAGGATGAGGGCAAGCAACGACTTCAGGTGAGCGACCCCACCAGGGCTAGCTGCATCGGCATCCAGTCCAGCGCCTCCTTCTTCGCATGGCACTGCTTCGCCACGGGTAGAGGGCTAGCACCTCTTCCGGTCCTCGCTTTCGCCTCAGCATGCCACGCCACCGCCAGCGTGGTCACCGGCGCCGTCCTTCCTCTTCGCATCGCGCTGCCCCGTCGCCACCCGCGTGGCCACCGGTGACCTCCTCCCACTTAATGTCTCGGTGGGTGCGGCGACGATGGTGATGTCATCATGTGTTTCCTATGAGCACAAAAACAATGAGGAGAAAATGAGACGATAAGGTTGTGGTGGATTCAATCAACTGCGGTCCCCACCTTATTTGACCGTCCGATGTTTGGTCTCGCATCGAACGCTCTGGGATCAGCATTTCTGGATAACTTGCTCTAAATTATTTGTTAGCTTGAATTCATTCCTATAAGCAAGTGTCTTTACTCTGTCCAATCATCCATTTCATACTTGTTGATGGTTAGAAGGTTTGCTGTTAGAAAATATCAATGCCTACTTCTAATTTAATTGCAAATAAGTTAGCAATTATGCTTTATAACGATGGCAGATCGAAAGATTTATCCTTTTAGTGGCCGAGGTGCATCCTTCGAAACAACTAGCGTACACCTAAGCCCTCCCTGAAAATAGGTTTTGGTTTTGTAAGGCATTTTCTCCCAACTAATCGGCGACCTTGTCGAGACTAAGAGGCACTTGGCACTTGAGATCCATCATCAAATTGCAGTAATTATTCCCGCATAAAAATGCTATGTTCTGAGCTTGGCTAAGCATAAACCTAAAATATCTACTAAGCACTAGATATATAACTTTCACTAGCTGATTTTGTTTACCTAGGGTTGTCAAGGATAAACATGGATATAAATAATAAGACCATAAATGTAGGAATGACTAATAAAACAGTTAAATGCGTCGGGAATTTAATTAAGCCGTGCAATAATTTAAACCATGACAGTTTTCACATACTGGGATTTAATATTCTCAAGGAAAGCAGTATGGTTTGCCTTGCTCAACAAGAAGGTATTTCTGATGTCTTGATATGCACTTTCAGGATCCTTTGAAACTATAGGAACTACACGAGACACACAAAATGTGGCTAAAGGTGTATCCAAGAAGCAAGATTAGTCTATAAAAATACAAATGGGTTCTTCACGATTTAACCAAAATATTAGTGACTTGAACGGGCTGATTCAGAGTTCAGATAGGTAACTTGAACTGGATGTATATTGGTTCCTCTCCTTTCATCATTAATTAGCATATAGTAGATATGTACAAGGAACTATTCATTTATCTGTTTTCTTGATTCTTTAGGGTAGTGCTATGGGAGAATGTAGTACCTTCTAGCCGGGGCAGGCGTGCAACCTGATGTGCCCATCTCATTTATTCACTGTCTACTATTGCTCTTGTTCAGAGTACCATACTTCGAGTTTCCTCACTCCAATTGATTATATATGAAAAATACAATGGTAGGGTTAAAGATGGTAGCAAAATGAACATGCCTTGAGTCTCTTGAATAAATAACTTACTATTGATCAATGAGTGACATTCGTGCAACTAAGGCTGTCAACGAGCTGAGCTCGAGCGAATTTGGCTACGTAGGCTTGAGCTTGACATGAACTCGAGCCGAGCTCGAGCCAAGCCTGGATACTGATCGAGCTTGGGAGTGAGCTCGAGTTCGAGCTCGAGCGAGCTTCGAGCCTACTCGAGCTTGACAGCTTGTCTTGGTGAAACTCCAAAAAACTTACACTTGTATAAGAGATATTAATGCAAATTATCGGTAGTCAAAATTAATGGGTGCTACTTATCTTGAATAAAGCCTCTGCAGCTTTTCTCATGAATTCATGGCTTTAAAACGTTGCAATTAACAAAAGCTAGCTACTACATCTAATAGGAATAGTAGTACTATTACTAGCAGCCGGATAATTGCTTTATTGAGAAGCATCGATGAGGTCTTGAGACTTGAGTAGGTCAAGCACGATGACAAGTATACATGGACCCATCAAGAATATCTTCCTACATGCAATACATCTTATGCTAATCAAGCCTTGCCGAGCTATTCGAGCTCGAGCTTGCTAGGCTTGCGAGCCTCAGCCTAGGCTTGAGCTTGGCTTGTCTAGTATTTGAGCCGAGCTCGAATCAAGCCTGTAACGAATCAAGCTCGAGCAGCTTGCGAGCTTCGAGCTTTTTTGATAGCCCTACTTGCAACTATTCGTGAGACAACAGACAATGTGTTTTATACAGTTTATGCCCCTTAGATGGGTAATGACTATATGTCCTATTTGGCCGGAGTCAAGTGTTTTTCACTATATCAATTACATGAGTACAAGGTATGCAATGGAACCCTAATCTAGCCTATGACTATATCGGCGAGAATGATGGTGGTGGTCGGCAACTAGTTGTTGTCGAGTTTCCATTAATGTTTACTATGGTGGTGGTGGAATTGCCACACCTACTAGTTATGTGTAGACTAGCGATATAGTCAGATCCTAGCTATAATGTTGATGATAGAACCACCACGTCTACTGGTTTATGTAGACGATGAACATAGTCGTACCCTGACCACTGTTTTGTTGTTTAGGCTGAAAGTTTTATATGCATCCCATTGTTTATCCAACCCTTAAATCATTATGGAGGTGTATCGGTCTATGGTTTGTTTCAAGCTTTTTTTTTTCTCCAAAACATCTTTCCAACCAGACTGCTTGTAATGCACGTATATCTCTATGTTTGTTCAACGGTATGCTTGGTATTGTCGCTATTTGAGATCTCTGCCTATGTCATCATGGTAGATGTTACAGGCAGTGCATCGGGTTCTCCGCTTGATAGCGAATCACCTCCTTCGTCCTTGTCCTGATTCCCGAGTCGCTTGAGGCCATTCACAATGCGTCATGGGCCACGAACGAATTTGTGATGCCACATAGGACCAAGCTCCTCTAAAGCAACTCACCTCACAATGCAACTCCCACTCCCACCCACTTTTCATGGGTCCCACTCCCACACACTTTTCATCTCCCCCCCTCTCTCTCTCTCCACTATCTCCCCCACCGGCGGAGGATGGGAGGAGCACCCGAGGCTCACGTGCTCGCCGCCGCCGCCGCCGCCGCCGCCGCCGCGCCCCACCTCTTCGTCCGCCGGTGCCCCTCTCCCTCCCTCCTTCCGCAGAGCTCGCATGCGTGGAGCGGGACGGCACGGAGCTCACTAGCTCCGGCGGTGCGGAGCTCACGGAGCTCACCGGCGTGGATCTGGCGGAGCTCACCGGGGTGGAGCGGGACGGCGGGAGCTCGTCCTCTCCGGCGGCGCAGAGCTCACGGAGCTCACCGGCGTGGAGCTCGGCGGCGCGGACGGCGACGAGGTCGGCGGCGTGGAGAGGAGGATGGTGACGAGCTTGGCGGCGCGGCGAGGAGGATGGCGTCGGCGCCAGCGGAGCGGCGGCGGAGCAGCCCAGTCCGGCGCTCGCCGGGTCTAGCCTCGGGCGGCGGCTACGGCTCGTCGCATCTCCCCTCTCCTCAGCTCGTCGGCGCTCGCCGTTAATGGCTACGGCTCGCAGTTTTCTGCTCTCTCCCCTCTTCCCTGTCACTGGCGCCAGCTTTTTCAGGCTTTTAGTGGGAAGAATGGGTGACCAAAACTTGCTACGCGTTCCTCGTGAGGCTCCGAGTGTAATCGACGAGGCATAGAATATGCCGTTCCTCAAGCCGAGGCTGAACGCCACGGAGGCGCATTGTGAATGCCCTGATAGCCGCCTTCACCAATCGCTGTGTCGCACAAGGGCCCAAAACCCACAGGGCTAGCTGCAGCCTACTCAGGCCAGTTAAGCAAGCATAAATTGGTCCGCATCTTGCTTGTGTAAGCTGTCCTTCGGCCCAATGGACAAGTAATTAGTAGGATTTTTTAGCCTCGTCTTCCAAAATTTCATGTTGATATGGTGATTTGGACTCGAATGATAGGAGTGCTGGTATCACGGGTAAATAATTGCGACCAGGGTCTTGATAATGCTGGCTGCTATTGTGCTCATTTTGTCACGAGCGAGGTTAACTAGCTTACGTTATTCTTGATCCCTTCCTAAATTATCTGGCGATATATTGTGCGCACTGACTGATCGATCATCTCTACACACTACCACAAAAATACACAAAAGTGATGGAGAAATACTAAAACCGGCACCTACAAACCCCTGTCCGCGGCACGTGTCTAGTGCCTACGGGGCGTCATCCGGTAGAACCGACACCTTTAATACAATCTGGTACCTATGACTTCTGTCAGAGAGAAATGTGTTGATTTCTATTGAAAACTAGCACCTTTGAGTACGTACGAGTGCCGATTTTTGAAAAAAAACCGATACTTGATTAAACCGAGGCGACGGGCGTGGAGCATGAGAAAGAAAACAAATTTACGCTCTTATCCCCTTGCGTGCCTCATCTTCCTTATCCTCTTGCATGCATCGCTCTTCTCCTCTCGCAAACCGCGCCTCTCCCCTACGCAGCGGTGCGGCGGTGCCAGCGGCCAGCTCCTCTCCCTCTCCCCCTGCGTCGGCGGGAGGTTGACACCGTGGCGACGAGGAGGTCCGGCTCATCCTTCCATCTCTCCCGTCCCGTATATACAGCGATCTCCCGTATCAAATGAATATTCGTGACAAAAAAACTGCAGAAAAAAATTCGACGTATATACAGCGATCTCCTGATCCTCCATGAGCTTAGCTATAGTGTGGACGTACGTTGACCACCCACATCGACGATGAAGTTTCACGAGGCGATCAAGCTGCCATCCATTGCTCATTACGCCCTACGCTATGTGCTTCCCGCCGCCGCCGTCGCCGCGTGCGTTCTGGTGCTCGCCGCCGTCAGCCTACCCGGCCGCGTGCCGCTGCCGCTGCTGCTGATGACGAACACGGCGGATGGCGTGGGCGGCGACACGTCTGGTTGTGACATCTTCAAGGGCGAGTGGGTGCCGGACATGGCCCGCGAGCCGCCGCCGTACACCGGCGAGAGCTGTCCGGTGATCCATGGGCATTATGATTGCATGCGGTACGGACGGCCGGATCTTGGGTACGTCCGGTGGCGGTGGCGGCCGGACGGCGGGTGCGAGATGCGGCGGTTCGACGCTGCGAGGTTCCTCGCCGCGATGAGGGGCAGGTCGGTGGCGTTCGTCGGGGACTCGCTGGTGTGCCTCCTGTCGCGCGCCGAGCGGCCGGCGCCGTGGACGAACGGCAGCTACGCGTACCGCTTCGAGCGGCACGGCCTCACCGTCGCGGCGTTCTGGTCGCCGTTCCTCGTCCGCGCCGTCGAGACGGACCCCGACGGCCCGACGGGGAGCGGCTCCGGCCTGTGGAGCCTCCACCTCGACGAGCCCGACGCCGGGTGGGCGGCGCACGTCGGCGCGTTCGACTACGACGTCGTCTCCGCCGGGAGCTGGTTCTACCGGCCGTCGATGTTCTACGACCGCCGCGGCCGCCTCGTCGGGTGCAACACCTGCCTGTCCCCGAACGTCACCGACCTCACCCTCCGTTACTCCCTCCGGATGGCGTTCCGGAGCGCGCTCCGGGCGGCGACGGGCGCGCGCCGCCGCGGCGGGCGCGGCGCGAGGACGGTGATCGTGCGGACGATCTCGCCGTCGCACTACGAGAACGGGACGTGGAACGGGGACGGGGACTGCCTCCGGAAGCGGCCGGCGCGGCGCGGCGAGTGGGAGCTGAACGCCATGGAGAAGGACATGCACCGGATACAGGTGGAGGAGTTCGCGGCGGCGGCGGCGGCGGAGGGGGAGACGGCGAGGAAGAGGGGGAAAGAGGCGGCGAGGATGCTGCTGATGGACGCGACGGAGGCCATGGCGCAGCGGCCGGACGCCCACCCGAGCAAGCACAGGCTGTGGCAGCCGGACAAGTTCAAGGTGTCGCGCGATTGCGTGCACTGGTGCCTTCCCGGCGCCATGGACGCCTGCAACGACATGCTGTTCCACATGCTGATCGGGTGATGGGTGATGCCCGTTCTTCTCATCATGGCTGGTCGATGATTATGTGCGGTTTATTCGCGCCACGATTTTAAATGTACGATTCGTTTTTTTTTTTAAAAATACATAAGCATTGTTTAGATAACTTGGGAGCCTGCTATGGATCGAACATCTGATTTTTTTTTCAAATCGTCGGACGGTGTTGCACCGTGTTATTGAAAAATGTTTCACCCCTCAATAAAAATTGTTTCAATAAAAATATTCCAGATGTTTCACAATAAGAGAAAAATGTTTTCGTCGCTTGAGCATAATTGTTTCAACTAAATACACCATTCAAACATATCGATTGCAACATCAAGAAATCAATGTATGCAACATTGAATCAAAACAGAATGGAACATCTTAACACAATAAAGTGCAACAAAAAATACAAATAAATTGCAACATCACTAAAATTCGCAACAAAACCCACCTCTGACTTCTTCTGTTCCGTTCACCGGAACCAAGCGACCGGCATGGGGAGAGAAGCGAGATGATGGCACAGACGAGGATGAGGGCAAGCAACGATTTTAGGTGGGTGACCCCGCCAGGGCCAGCGGCATCGACATCCAGTCTAGTGCCTCCTTCTTTGCGTTGCATTGCTCCGTTGCTGGTAGAGGGCTAGCACCTCGACCAGTCATCCCTTTCGCCTCGGCATGCCATGCCGCTGCCAGCGTGGTCGTTGGCGTCCTCCTCCCTTTTTGCGTCGTGTTGCCCTGTCGCCACCCGCGTGGCCGCCCATGGCCTCCTCCCACTTCACGTCTCGGTGGACGCAACGACGATGGCAGTGCCATCGTGTGTTCCCTATGAGCGCAAAAACGATGAGGAGAAAATGAGAGGGTAAGGTTGTGGGAAGGATGGATTGAATCAACTGTGGAACCCATCTTATATGACCGTCCGACGTTTGGTCTGACATCGAACGCTCGGGGATCAGCCTATTTATGGATATCTTGCTCTAAATTATTTGTTAGCTTTAATTCATTCCTATAAGCAAGTGTCTTTACTCTGTCCAATCATCCATTTCATACTTGTTGATAGTTAGAAGATTTGATGTTAGAAAATATCAATGCCTACTTCTAATTTAATTGCAAATAAGTTAACGGTTATGCTTCGTAACAAAGGCCGAAAGATTTATCCTTATAGTGGCCAAGGTGCATCCTTCGAAACAACTAGTCGTGCACCTAAGCCCTACCTGGAAATAGGTTTTGGTTTTGTAAAGCATTTTCTCCCCACCAATCGGTGACCCTATTGAGACTCGAAGGCACTTGGCACTTTAGATCCATCATCAGATTTCAGTAATTATTCCCACATAAAAATGCTATGTTCTGAGCATGGCTAAGCATAAACCTAAAAGTTCTACTAAGCACAAGATATATAATATTCACTAGCTGATTTTGTTTACCTAGGGTTGTCAAGGATAAACATGATATAATAACTAACTAGCATGGTGGCCCGCGCAGATTACGCGGCTAGCATGATTATATTTTCTCTCATATAATAGTACATATGTTTTCTTATTATATTATTCAAATATATTAAAACGACAACATAATTTTAAATTTTACAATAACTTTACAAAACTACTAATGTGTAATATTCATATTGTATTTTATATACGTGTTAGTTATTAATTATTTTTAATATCAAATTTTAGTTATTTGTAAATTATATATATTCCTACATGGACTCTAGATTCGTCTTTTAATATTTCTTTTTTTAATTCCGAATTTTCTGTAAATTGTATTTCTATATAGACTCTATGCTCTTCTTCCAATATTATTTATTTTTATTTCTGAATTTTTATTATTTCTAATTGTATTTCTATGTGGACTCTAAACTCATCTTTCAATATTCTTTAATTTTTAATTTCGAATTTTAGTTACTTCTAAATTGTATTCCTATATTGACTTTAAACTCTTCTTTCCATGTTTTTCTTAATTTCAAATTTTAGTTATTTGTAAATTGTATTTTTATACGGACTCTAAACTGTACTTTTAATTTTATTATGTTTATTCTAAATTTTAGTTAGTTTTAAATTCCTATATGGACTCTATACTCTACTTATAATATTCCTTATTTTTTAATTCCGAATTTCTATTTTTTATTAATTGTATTTCTATATGGACTCTATACTCTACTTCTAATATTCCTTATTTTTAATTCCAAATTTCTATTATTTCCTAATTGTATTTCTATATGGACTCTATACTCTACTTCTAATATTCTTTATTTTTAATTCCGAATTTCAGTTATTTTCTAATTGTATTTCTATATAGACTCTATACTCTACTTCTAATATTCCTTATTTTTAATTTCGAATTTAAGTTATTTCCTAATTGTATTTCTATATGGACTCTATACTCTACTTCTAATATTCCTTATTTTTAATTTCTATATGGACTCTATACTCTACTTCTAATATTCCTTATTTTTAATTCCGAATTTCAATTATTTTCTAATTGTATTTCTATATGGACTCTAGTCTCCTCTTCTAATATCCTTATTTTTTAATTCCGAATTTCAACAATTGTATTTCTATATGGACTCTGCTTTTTCTTTTTCTCCGATTAATGTAAGAATTTCTAGGCTATGAGAGCGAACGTGGAGGCTCCTTTTTTTATTCCTTTAATAATATAATAGATAAGGCCATAAATATACGAATGACTACTAAAACAGTTATGTGCGTCAGCATTTTGATAAACCTGTGCAATAATTTAAACCAAGATAATTTTCACATACTAGGATTCAATATTCTCAAGGAAAGCGGTATGGTTTGCCTTGCTCAACAACAAGGTCTTCCGATGACTTGATCTGCACTTCAGGATCCTTTGAAACGATAGTAACTACACGAGACACACAAAATGAGGCTAAATTTGTATTTCAAGAAGCAAGATTAGTATATAAAAATACAAATGGGTTCTTCACGATTTAACCAAAATATTAGCGACTTGAACGGGTCGATTCAGAGTTAAGATAGATAACTTGAACTTGATGTATATTGGCTCCTGTCCTTTCATCCTTAATTGATATGTACAAGAAACTAGAGATTTATCTGTTTTCTTGATTCTTTAGGATAGTGCTATGGGACAATGTAGTACCTCTTAGCCGTGGCAGGCGTGCAACGTGATTTGCCCATCTCATTTATTCACTGTCTACTATTACTCCTCATCTGAGTACAATACTTCAAGTTTCCTCACTCCAATTGATTGTAGATCAGGAATGCAATGGTAGGGTTGAAGGTGGTAGCAAAGTGAACATGCCCAAAGAGTATCTTGAATAGATAACTTATTATTGATCAATGAGTGACATTCATGCGACTCTTCACGAGACAACATTCAATGTGTTTTATACAGTTTAGGCCCCTTAGATGGGTAATGATCGTATGTCCTGTCTAGTTGGAGGCCAGTGTTTTTCACTATATCAATTACATGAGTATAAGGTATGCGATAGAACCCTAATCTAGCCTATGATTATATTGGCGAGAGTGATGGTGGTGGTCGGCAGCTAGTTGTTGTCATGTTTCCATTAATGTCGACTTGATAAGATTGGGGATGGATTGTATTGGCGTGTGGCAGATTTGCTTGGTGACAAATTGTGTTTCCATGAGTTGAGATCTCCACTAGGGGATGTTGTATTTATACCCTTGGATATCACCTTGTCTAAGTAGAACTTTGGGGTAAGTTAGGATACGATCTGAGCAGTCATTGTCCCCATGTAGGACTATGTCTTCCTTTTATAGTCGGGGCTCTTTCCTTATCTACTAAAGACTTTATCTTTATTTGGGGGTTTTAATTTCTTATAGGAATTAGCATGTGGTCCTTTGCTGCCGTGTATGTGGCACATTTGTAGGGTATCCCATACTTATTTCCTTGGTAGTAGACCCTCAACTCTATTGAAATGCAAATGTTGACAATTGAGTTCAGCTGTTCCGAGGAAACGCTGCATCAGATAAGTAATCGAGGTCAGGCGATACTGACTATGTTGTGCCCGAGTTCGATGCTCTGGTCCGGGTAACTAGTAGTAGTCAGATGATGGCATTTGGATCGGATAAGAAATTTGTCTGTGTACATATGTGCGAAAGATCTCGGTGGGGAAACCATTTTTTGTTTACTCTTACATTGGATTTATGTAGTTAATCGATGTCCCAAGATTTTGATTTTTTATGAAGTCAACTCCTCGGAAAAAGTGTTAGATAACAAGCACTAGAGGGAATGCTCGGGAGAAATATATATAAATAAACTGAAATTTTGATAAGTTTTCTAGTCTATAAGTAGAGTTTATGTAATTTCCGTAGCCCTCAACTGTTTTATCATAAACATAGTTAACGAGTAGATAGTCTTAATAGAAAAAAGATGTAAAAATTATTAATATTTTTTACTGTTTGATGTCTTCTACCATAATCTCGATGACACTAGCAGCAGCTCCTTTGTCCCGAGTTCAATTTTGTTGTGGTAGGAATGCTACACTCTTGAACCCCAATCACAATTGGCAAAATTTGCTATAGGGCATCGAAAAAACGTGTAATTAGCTCGTGGACACCGCAAGAACGAGAATTTGCTAACGGGCATTACAAAAAACGTGTAATTAGCTCCTGGACACTCGGGGCCTTATTTTATTATTTCCCGTGAATTTGGAGAGAGAAACACTAAATAAAGACAAGTTTGCCCTTGGGTCTCGACCTAGATAGCGACAAAGCATTGGATTGGCCGGCGGCGGCGACAGAGCCGAACACGTGCAGCGCTTGTGTTCTGTCCCTGTGACGGGTCCGAGTGGCGGCGACCATCGTCGGGATGCTCCGCGCTGTGGCCGGCGTGCGTGGGCTCGTCGCCGCCGATGACCCCTTTAGCGTGGAGCTAACGGACGTGTTGACTGACGACACCGACGCCGACGACAATGCGCTTGTGTTCTGTCCCTGTGATGGGTCCGAGCGGTGGCGGCCATCGCTGGGATGCTCCGCGCTGTGGCCGGCGTGCGTGGGCTCGCCGCCGACGACCCCTTTGGCGTGGAGCTAATGCACGTGTTGATTGACGACACTGACATCGACGACAATGCCCGGCGACCGGAGAACACGGTGCCCGGCGCGTGGGCGACGGTGGAGAGTTGTGA